TTCTCATTTCCGCTACGCTTCTGCATTTGATTCGTTGTAAAGTCCTGAGTTGAAAGCGTACATATATTGTACCATGGACTATCCACGTTTACGTTAAGATAGATAATCGTTATGCCATGAAATTGTATCGAATTATTATGCTCGACGAACTGAATATGTAGATATACCTATGTATATATGATAGTATACGAAGAGAAATTGTAACGTGGCGTTCTAACACAACGCACACGTGTTCGATACTTATTAAAGTACCTCTCTTGTTCTCTCTCTCTCTCTCTCTCTCTCTCTCTCTCTCTCTCTCTTTCACTCTCTCGTGCTCTTCAAACTGATTCAAGGCACAATTATAATCGTTATTTAATCGTTCTAATGCGCGAAATCGCGCGACATAATATCGTCCCGTTGTCGCGTTCTAGCCTGCACCCTCCCACATTATGGAGAAGTTTTCGAGGTCCCAAATCACGACGGAGAGGTAGTCGTTCGGGTCGTGCTCGAAATTCAGAAATACTTGCCTGTTTTGTTTCGGAGTAGTGCGCAAGCAGCAATGTCTTTACTCGAAAGTTTCAAATTCTCTGTAGCGTTAGAACATCGTCGTCGTCGTCGTCGTCGTCGTCGTCGTCGTCGTCGTCGTCGTCTCTTTCTCTTTCTCGTTCTCTTTCTCTCGTCGAAAACGGGTGCGCACTCTTCGAGAAAGAGAAAGGGAAGGAGATGAACGCAGACTCAGATTCGGGTTAATTACTCTAGGCGGACGAATCGTGACTCGGAACATGTGTTTCGAGATAGGAGAATGTGCAAGAGCACCCGCGACGACCGTAATCCCTGCATTCTATGCGCTGCGCAGCTATACATGCGCGCTCGTTCGCACGCACGCATACTCTTCTTACGGAGAAAGAAGAGAGGACGGAGCTACGGTGGAATTTTCAAATTCAGATACGACCAATTCTATTCTCCGTGAATCAACTACGAGTCGTACCTTTTCTCGTCCTCGAAAATTCCTCGACAAAAAGATTACTTGGAAATTAACGATCCACTGGTATTCGCTTACCTTTTAATAAGTCTAGAAAGAGAGAGGCGGGGGGAGAGGGGAGAGGGAGAAAATGAAAACTCTATCGACCGAAACTTGTGTTGGGATTAATCGAATCGTTAAAATTAATCCGCATGCAAGCTTTAACGATCTACACCGGATATCGAAATATGTAATATATGTTATTCGGTTAAAACGAATTCGTTAATTATTTCCATCGGAAAAGTTTTTCTAAATGCAAACGTGCCTTTCACGTAGGTAAGTCATTTATGTTTTCCGCTCGACGGTCAACGAGACTTCGTTCCTCTCTTAAACTCGGAAAAGTTTTCAATGACATACGTAATTCGTTGAAATTATGAAGTGTCGATAGAAGTCCTCTGTTGAATAGACGTTTATTGCACGCTGGAATGAGGAAATTAGGGAAGCCAAGCCAAGAGGAAAACGAAGTAATTAGTCAAAGTACACGAGTACTAATAGTAGCAACGTAAGATGCTAAAATTCATTCATCATTCCCGTTAAGAAAAAGACCAAATGAAACACTTTATGCCAGTAGAAATTAACTCGTCATTGTGAAATCATTTTTTCTTACGAAATTACCCTGTCGAGAAAACTGATTTTGACAATTTTTAATTATTCACTGGAGCATTAACGTGGAAATAATACTGAAAGAAACTGAAATATCGAGCGAACGCGTAGATATAAATATATACCATTAATATCTACGAATAAAGTGCATACCTTCTGTTCTACATACATTCTATTTAGAAATTCAGAAAAGATGCCTGGTCGTTCCGAAGGAAACTGTATGGGAAGAGAAGTTGATGCGAAAGAAATGAAGCAATTAGCCAAAGTACCAGCAAATGAAGCTTAATAAGGGTGCGCTCGTCCTCTCATGGTTAAAATACACTTACCACTACGCGGCTGGCAACTAAAAAAGAAAGACGAAGGTAGAAAAATAAATATAACAAGAGCGAGGGAGGGAGAGTTTTGCGAAAGGAAAAATGTAAATTTTTTAAAAACCTTGACGGACATTTTCAATTTTTTTTTTTTTTTTTTTTTTTTTTTGTGAAAAAATTGAATCGTTTGCTACGACAGACTTGCATGCTGAAATATTATGCATTAATAATCTTTAAAAATCGAATAAATGTCCATTTATTTCGATAAATATTTATGCATAGACGTATACATTCGTGCATATATGAAATAAATGGATTGAAATAATAAAAAAAAAAAAAAAAAAAAAAAAAGAAGAAGAAAAAAGAAAAAATAAAGGAAAGAAGAAAAGCATAAATTGTCTTTGAGGGTTCTATATAATCCAGAGAATCGTACATCGAACTAACTTAGGTACGTCAAAGGGAATGGTTGACCTCGTTATTTCGAGCTCTGCAAAATACAACAGATCCTTTTTCTTTTACGTTTAGAAGCAACGTAGAAAAGAAAAAAGTAACTCGGTGATGGCCAAGGATGTTTATTACGTCATAATGATCCCGATTGTTAAGCGAACGTAATGTGCCAGTGTCGTACGAGATTTCTCCAACCTCTTTTCCCTACCTCTCTCTTGTACACGCTCATTCTTCCCTCGATCTCTCTCTCTCTCTCTCTCTCTCCCTCTTTTCTTAGTCGAGCCCAAATGGCCGATATAAATCAACGCTCGCAATATCGTCGCGTCGTAGACATTGCCTTCTGCTAAGAATAGTAGCGAAGCATGGATAGGCGTATTGTTTTTCCACGTGATAAAATATATCCATGTGGATGGCACGGTTTAAATGCCTCATCCTCCTCTTCCATCGGCATACTCCATCATAGGTACAACACTAAATTTGATGGTCTCTTTAATGTCGCCGCCATGATTTTGCTAGATTTAACGCGGATTATATCGTCGACTGTCTTTTTTTTCCTTTCTATTTTTTTCTTTTTTATCTTTTTATCCTTTCTCTTTTCTCTCTCTTCTTTTTTTTTATTTTTTTTTTTTTATTTTTTTTTATTTTTTTTTTATTTTTTTTTTAATCCTTTTCAATTATTTCACTTATCGCCAATATACCCTTTCGTTAATCTCACACGCTATTATTTTTCGTAATCGAAGCGGATTGTCACTGTTATACGATCGAAACACATACAACACTACATTCATAGAGAAATGAATTATTTGCAGCTTACTGCTGATTCCAAAGATAATATTGGAAAAAAGAAAAAGCATAGGGAAGCATATCACGAACATGCATTTACCTCTGCGTTTATATCAAAGGGATAAATAATTTCCTGCGCTCAAATGCGATAAAGGCAGAAAAATTCGCGAGATATCGTTACGGGACAGGTTTCGTGTCGTTGGATGGATAACAAGAAGAAGAAAAAGAAGAAAAAAGAAGGTAACGCTTCGAATCGAGCGAAGGCACGTAACTCCTCGAGAATGGAAACATCTTCTATCGAAGGAAGAAAAAGATGGCGATAAAAGAGGGAAGAGGGGAAAAGAGTTGAAAGAAACGGAAAAAGAAGGAAAGGGTGGAAGACACAGAGGAATGCAAATGGTCGTGCACGCTTCCTCGCTTGCTCGCTCGATATGCAAAAGAAGAAATATTTGTGCCGTACCGAGAGAGGGAAAGAGAGAGAGAGAGAGAGAGAGAGAGAGAAAGCTCTGTTCGAGAGCCGAGGGTGTACGTTCTCCTCTACTTCGTGCAATGGAAGACTAGTAAGAGTAGAAGAAGGAAGAAGAGGAAGGTGAATAAGGAAATAAGGCTGCTCGTCGTCGATCGTTCGAATTTCTCGTGAAAAAGAAGGAGACGCAATCCAGAGAGCGAGGATATGCATAGCTATGTCGCTTGCGCGCGCTCGTGAGCGAATAGGAACGTGCGTCGTTTTATTTTCACGGAAGACGTACTCGCGAATGTCAATTAACAGTCCTCAGTTCCTTTCCTCTTTTTTCATTTTTTTTTTTTTTATTTCCCCTCTTCTTTTTTTCTTCCTTTCTTTTTTTTTCTTTTTTTTTTTTCCTTTTTTTTTTTTTAGATTACAAAGGACGACCGAATGAAATTTCGTTCGGCTCACGTTTCATTGGCGATCCGCGTCACGTTCCCTTGGTAAACGCACCGCGCTTAATCGTGCGTTCCACCGGCACGTTTTTCCGCCGAGCGGAATGTCCTAATTAACATGGCAATTTCGTTCGTCGCTGCACATTGGATTTCCACGGGAAGGAAAGGTGAAGTGGAGTGGAGTGGAGAGGAGAGGAAAGAACAAGTTCGACGCTCTATCGTCGACGAATTCTTCTTTCGAAAGGCGAGAGAGAGAGAGAGAGAAAGGAGCTGACGAGTATCAGACAATGATTTCAAAGAAAAGAAAAAAAGAGAGCGCGGAGCATAATGAATAATTTCCTTTCGATTTCGCAGAGAAAATTCACGTGCAGAGTTACGTAATTTTTATTCGCTCCTTTCGCGACCATATGCATAACCACAATAAAAAGTTACTCTTTCCGTCTAGTACAAAAAGATAATTCGTTTATCATAATAAAAGCAGAAATGACGCGGCATATGCATATTTATAAAAGTGAACGGATGAATTCGTGTGCCGAACGGAAGCGTACCAGTTTTCACGGAAGAAACGCGTGTCCACGCACAAGAACGAAGGACATTTATAACTCGTACAGATACAATTCTATGAATGGTGAATGGGGAGTGATTGGAAGGAGGGAGAGCGAGCAGGAGTTACGACACGAGTTTTATTACGATATATTATATATGTATTATATTATCGCTGAAAAATATTTATTCTCGAATCGATACTCGATACTTTTGTATAAGACACTCTGAAAATGAAGAGGCGTCGAACCATGAAATTGTAAAATTTGGAATCGCGCATATCGATGTTCGAGTTAAAATCAAATTTTACAGACGTTTAAAATGAAGGGAAAACTTTTGAAAAGTTTCCAAAGCCTCATCGAAATCATCCAATGCATTCTCCTTTTTATTTTTTTTCTCTCTATTTTCAGTTGGGCTTCTTCACTTATTACACCGTAGCAAAGGGCGAGGTGAATCCCTCGGGTCCAGTACCGATCGACAGTGTCTTCATCTACAGGCCGGACAAACGCCTCGAGCTTTGGAGGTTCGCCTTCTATATGTTCCTTCATGCTGGGTAAGTCTTTTAAAACCTTTCTCGAATCGACCCTACATCTTCCTCTTTCTCCCCCAAAAGTACTATAACGTAACGAGAAGCGTTACTCGACCGTTCGCAAAAAGCTTTAAGCCAGAGAGAGAGAGAGAGAGAGAGAGAGAGAGAGAGAGAGAGAGAGAGAGAGAGAGAGAGAGAGAGAGAGAGAGAGAGAGAGAGAAAGAGAGTGATAGTTTAAAATAGAGGATGGCATTACAAGAGCGACGCTCAACGAGAGATAGTCGTTCATGAAAACGCTTTAAAGGGCCCTCCTGGAGATCGGGTAATTTATTTAACATCGATACGATTCCCTGACACTCGAGACTGGCTTGCTTGCTGCGTAAAAGTTTCACATCAAAAATATTTCGTTCGAAATTCATTCCTATTTCAGTTCTCCTCCTTGACTGTATCAACTTCGATAAATAAAAGAAAAATATTTTTCGATATATCGTTAATTATTGTCGCTTTGTTTCCTCGCAATTTCATTTTGTTCATTCAACGGTAATCGGACATTAATCAGAGAAACGCGATACTCGTGTCGTTTTCAAACCTTTCTCCATTCTCCCTCCTGTGCTTCGCGAAGCTGGCGTTGCAGAATCGATTGAATTTTCCCCGAACAAGGGGAATGACATTACATAAGTGTACCGGCACGCTCACCTTCTCTGACAATAGAAAATGGCCGGTCTCTCCCATTTTCCCTATTTTTTTTCTCTCTCTCTCTCTCTCTCTCTCGCTCTGTTCGGGGTGTGTGCGTGTATGTGTGTGTGTGTTCGTGCACGCGCGCGCGCGCGCACTGTGGTACCTATTTTCTCGCGAAGCGTTTTCCTTCTTTCGCTCGCATTTCGCCTCTCCTCGCACGACTTGCCATGCTATGTCGGTGGTTTTTCCTCTTTTGTATCTCTCTCTCTCTCTCTCTCTCTCTCTCTCTCTCTCTCTCTCTCTCTCATTTTCTCGCGTTCTCTTGCATACTCGCGCGAAGAGCGCGAGACCGGTACAAAAGTTTTCAGCACGAAGCTCTCTAAATTATTCATGGAAACGCCAGATAAGGCGACCATTTTCCCTACGTGCGTATGGAAGCAGCGATAAGAGTGACCCAGCATTTTCCACGCCGCGCGAGCACCTTTCCGCTTTTCTCTCTTTAGCCCTTTCATGACTTCCTTCTCTTTCTCCATACCAGTCCCTCCTGATATAAAATCATTATGTAACCCTTTGGTATTCTATGTCAAGTCAAACTCGACGTTTCATTTGAAACGTGTCACGATCAACTCCGACGTATATCTTTCCTTTGGAATATAACGAAAGATATATCGATTGACGACGTTCTATACCCAATGGAAAATAAAAGATATGTTATATTGATATCGATAACAAATGAATAATTAATCAATAGAAAACGTTTGTAATGAAGCATTGAAAATAAAATACGGAACAAAAAAGAATTAATTATCTGTGAATGCGCGAGCGTGCGTGTGTATGCTAATTAATAAGATGAAACGAATTCTAAAACGTTGTAACATATCGGCGAACGAAATGACCAGTGCTTCTCGGTAACAAAGGGAGAAGAACGAAGTAGGTAGTAGGCAATGGCTGTGAGAAAGGCGGAAGTAAAGGAAAAATCGAGACAATCGCGGTAATTGCAGGAAGCCAACGTGGCACATAGAATCCAGATCGGACAATGGTATCGCCGAGTTCACGCTACGAGAGCAACGTCGAAAAAGGACGCCTTCCATTTTCTCTTTTTTCCTCTCATTTTCTCTCTTTGCAATTTCTATGTCCCTCTTCGTCCTCTATTGATCCAAGATCTCGAAAAGAACGCTTTGTAATTCTACGATGGAATATCGGCTCGTATGAATTTCGGGCGGTGCAAAATTGATCTCTCTTTTTTTTCTTTTTTTTTTTTCTTTTTTTTTTTTTTCTTTTTTTTCCTTTTTTTTTTTTCTTCCTTTTTTTTTTATCGTGAAAAAATCGTCTTTCGTATTATATTAATTCAGCGATAGCGATCGTTCTTTACTTTGACCAAGAAGTCAGAAGTTGTATTTAATTAACGTGTTAATTTTCTGATAACGCGGCATAACGTTGCCATTAATGGAACTTAACGTCGACATGTTTAAATTTTCCTAGCTACCGATAACTCATTTCCCTTTAATCATTATATCATGAGTTTTTAATTATATGCATATTAGTATCAGCCGAATTTCCGATACAACCTTCTACAAAGAAAGGATCTGGAAGGTGCGATGGCGGTAAGAGAAGACAGGGGATTAGAGTAAAGAGATACGTTTTACAGATATTTTGAAAGTGCGCTTTGGTAATGTTGAAAAGTTTGTCCAAAGTCCTCCACCTCTAGGCGCTTGACTTTAATGTTTGTCGTAAATTTCGCGGAAGGTATTCCTCTTTCTCTTCTCCTTTCTGTTTAGGGATCACGCGCACATACCCACGTACGAAAACCAAAGGTTACTACAACGAGATCCTTCTTCCCTACTCCGACGGCTCGATTAGACGCTTTTCTAAAGTTTGTTTGTAATATAGCGCTAGGAAATCTATTCAAAAGATAGGTGATATGAGAGAGAGAGAGAGAGAAATTGATAATAAGTTTTATTGCGAGTTATTCGTCTCTCATTTTTTCCTCCTCGTCCTGATACAAGTCTTGAACATTATGCATGCGCGACAAGGGCTGCTCACCACCGTCGTCGTCGTCGTCGTCGTCGTTGTCTTCCTCCTTCTCCTCCCTCGTCGCCATTATACGAAAGTCTCTAATGTCGCATAAATGGAGCCAGGAGCTTGCCTTTAATATCGTCTAGTCCACGTTTACCGCGTATATATAAGCGAGTCTCTCTCGACCACCGGTAGCAACGAGGACGAAAATGACGTAGCGAGTCTCGCGCATCGGACGAAAACTTTCTTCGTCTACTACTAAGACCGAGCGTACAAATTATAGCGAGGGTGAGTAAGAGCGTAGAGCTCGTGAAAGTAGCAGTTCGAGAGTGGAACGCGCGTTACTCGTTGAAGGTAGTAGGGCTCTCTCCTTCTCTGGCTTGCTACCGTCGAGAACCAAAGGAGAAAAGCTTGGATTTAGTCAGCATGCTTTGCAATTAGCCGTCAGGTTGTGGCGAACTTACCGAGCTTCTATCGGTTACGATGCGGTTTCAAGAATTAATGCCTTTCACTGAAGCTTTCCGCGAGTACTATGTCTTATTCGATCTTTTTCCTTTAATACTTATTAGATACTTTTCCTCAAGACTTTCTCCAACTTGTTTAACTTTCTCATATTACAATGGGAAACTATCTTTCTTTCTTCTCGTATCGGACAACTATTTCAACAAAATTTAAGATCTATCGTTATTTTTATTATTTCTTCGATGTAAAAAAAGAAAAAAAGAAGCGTGTCTAAAAATAGATCGCGAAGGATTCTCTTGAAGCTAATTTAATGATACGATAATTAATCTCGTATGCGCTAGAAAAAAAATTGATGAAAAAATGACATCCAATTCGTATTTTTCGATTTCAAATCCCGTGACGTATACACCGAAAATACTTCAATATTGAAAACTCGAGCGTTGTTCGGCGAATGGTAAAGTTTCGATACCTTAATTAATTATCGGCGTGAGATTAAATTCGTCTAGACCACTTGATTCCTCGGACCGATACAAATTTTCGACAAAGCTTTGTTTATCTCCGTTATTCGGTTCGATCGGATTTTTACAAGTCTCTCTCTCTCTCTCTCTCTCTCTCTCTCTCTCTCTCTCTCTCTCTCTCTCTCTCTCTCCAATTCAGTTACGTAATATCTCCGATTTCGATTGTATCACGAGAAACGTGTATGGCCGATAAACTCGAGGGAAAATAACATAATTCTTACAATCCACTTCTCCTCGAATATCTTCATTTTCTAATTACTTTAAACGTCAGGATTAGGTTGATTTCAATGTCGAGGGTAACTCGAGAAAATTCACGAGGGCATCGAAAACAAACGCGTTCGAGTCACGCGAAGATTTTCGATCGACTACGTCGATTAAATTTTAATTGGACGTTAATTAATAGCCAGACCAGTTGTTCTCGAACGCGAGTTATTTTGAATTCTCTGAATTCAAAATCGATCGACATTATCGATATGAAAATAAATGTTGGTTTTTTTCCATCGGTTGCATTACTATTCCCTTACTATTTTGCATTCTCATTTACTTTATTCGTATACTATATAATGTACAGAGGCACTATACATAAACATTTATATCATATGGGGATGGCCCCGAAGAAGGGGAGGAATCGGTAACACCGGTTCACAGACCCTTCTTTTGCCACGCTCCATTTCGACGATTGCGTACTTACTACAAATCGATGCCGATATATCTTGGACGTCTTCGAATTGGTAAAATTATTTCATGGAAAGTAGGCAGCCCTTCCTATACCTCCGGGCACCCATTTTTCTGTTTCCTTCTTTTCTTTCTTTCTCCCCCTCCCCCCTCCTTAATGCACTCCATTTTCCTATAGTCGCATATTTACATTAATTGTTGATAATTCCTGCTCCAAGCTAGAGTTTTATTATGATCCGACGCGTAATTATGCATGAATTAACAATTAAATTTTAGCACGAGCCAAGTGAAATAAATGATAATACCTCGTTTGGCCGATAGATATATTATGTATGTATATGTACCATTGGTACGTGAGTATTCCTAAGCAAAAGAGAGAGAGAGAGAGAGAGACGTGTGTTCATATATTATGTAACATCGTATTTGAGTATATAATACTTATGTATTATCTACCATCTATAAAGAAAGTCGAAGTATTAATACCAACTATAATTTGCGGTAAACTCTCGTAAATGAAAGCTACTTCTCTCGTCGCAATATGGATATATATTAGAAATATAGAAACACTTTTTCCGATTGATTGTGCAAAAAGTGATAAAAAATAAAAGATATCGGATATTTTTCGCAGCTAAACGATTTGTTCCTCTAAAAGTAAAATTAACTAGTGCGTAATCTATGAGGATCGTATGGACGCGCTCATTGAATGCGTTCGAGCGGACTTTGAGTTTCATATGATTACCGATTTATTTGTGCGATAATGGATGGACGGTGTATGCGACCATTTTCACGGTTAGCATGCGACGCTCGAGCGATTTAATGTTGCCTTTTTTTCCGCGCGCGCGTGCTCCATTTCAACGATTGCGTACTTTCGTCGAATCGATTTGGAATTTGTAGAGTCCTCCATACTTTCCTCTTTTTTTATCGTTTCTTTTAATAAAATATAATGAACTAAATTTTTCCGATTTCTCTAGGGAATTTTGTTTGGAAATCTAGATTATCCTGATATCAATCGAACGTATGAATTCCTTCGTTAACGATAAAATTATAATTGTTCGATTTATTCTCAAAGTATATTTTATTTTATATGGAATAATATTGTTGAAAGTATTTGGCTTCTGCTACAATGAAAAATCTCGCAAGAAAGAAGAAAAGTTCGATTCAATTGGGAAACGACGAGAGACCTTAAGAGTGATTGCTTTCTCGTTGACCGCATTTTACAAATAGCAGCGACACTACACTTTAAACTCATAGCCAATGCAAATTGCCTATTTCCTAGGGCCTCGTTCCAACAAACGGACTTTGAGAGAAACAGAGAGAGAGAGAGAGAGAAAAAGTAAAGATCTGTATTTTCAGCTGGATCCTACGAATAAACTTTATTTTATTTTCCAACCGTAAAAGATAAAAAAAAAAAAAAAAAAAAAAATGAAAGAAAGGTTGAGAAACTTCTAACAAGTTGCACATCGAAAGTCAACCATGCGATTGAATTTAGAAAGAAGGAGGTACGAGTAGCCGTCGTACTAGTGATTACTGAAAGTAATTACACGTTTGAATTAGTTGAAGCAAAAGTATATGAACGAAAGAATTTTCTCTTTAACTTTGCAAATTGTCTTTATACTTACTTCTTTTATACTTTCACATATTATATTGTACTTATTACTATATAAAATCCCCCTCTCTTGTATTTATTAATATATAAAATTATGAATATAAAATAATTTTAAAGTAGTGAAATTCGTAGGAAATTCGAATAATATATAGAATAAATCGCTTAATACAGTTACAAATGAACGACTAATATTTAATATCGATTAATGTAGGTAATACGCATGTGAATTATTTAGAATTTCGTTCTATCAAAATTTACTAGCTGGAAATAATCGAAATTTATTCTCGTCGAATCGTATTCATTTCTGACGAATTTCATTTGAGTATTCGATAGTAAGACTAGAATATGCATAGTGTAGTAGATCTTTGTGATTTTCCACGCTCCCGAGTGTACGACATGCCGGATAAGTAGTTAAGATCTCTTCTACATATCCAAGTTTCTCTCTCTCTCTCTCTCTCTCTCTCTCTCTCTCTCGTTCTCTTGGGAAAGAAACTTTCTCTAGCTCACTCGCGAGATAAGATGCATAATTGCTCGGATTTTCCTCTCACGCGTTTCCAAGCCACTATCCTCTTTTCGTTCTCTCGCCCGATAGACACGGTTCGTCGACTGAATCTCGGACTAACAGCATCGCCCTTTCGACTTTTCCCTATTCGTCCGCTTCTCGACTACATTCCCTATTCATTTTATACTTCTCTCTTTTATCATTGCAATCATTTCAAATGTATCTATCTAAGATACGCCAAGTCGAGTTTAGTTTTATAAAATGATTTAACGCTATAAATGTCTCTCGAAAAGAAAATACGTCTATCCGGACATGATTTAATTGATTCCATAAATCAATGCTTCTATAATCGGTCCAAGCAGATTGTTTCACTAATATTCTGAAATAAAATCAATCGATCGTGAGTGCTTTTTTCTTCTCTGTTTTTCATTTCTCTCTCTCTCTTTATTTTTTTTTTTTTTTTTTCATTTCTATTTTATTTCACCTTTCATATTTTATAAAATTGTACATATATATACATACACACACACACATACACACATATGCATCGTCAGCCACAGATATAAATTATATTATACGTTAGAGAGTTATTCTTTTCTCCATTTCTATATTTAATCTTTAAAGTATCGTCATTTTTCAGGGTGAAATGTTCGTGTATTCTTATTTAAATGAGCCATCCTTTATAGACACACGAATATATACATATGTATGTTCTAACGATATCAAACGAGGACGATGAGCAAGGGTATCTTGTCGACTATCGCTAAGAAATTGAAGATCTCCGCTTTCGGAGTGCGAAAAAAGTATATTACATCTCGTTTATCGCGTTGTCTCGTTCCGCAAAAGCGTCGCCTTTTAATTCTTTCATCCACCTTAATCCTTCTTCCGTGTCAAGCGGTAACTCTTTTAATCTTCCCTTGGGCTAATGTACGACCCCTTGACATCTTTTTGCTAAATGTTCCTAGCTCTGTTTTCATTTTTCTCATCTAACATAGAGAAAAATACCGCAAAGTCGGCCACTTTACCCATCCACCATCTTTTCTCTCTCTCTCTGTCTCTCTATCTCATCTTTTCCGGTACTTATTTTTCAGTTTCCTCATTTCCGTCTCGTAATCTTACTATATGTACCCTGTTCTACTCCTTTTTTCTTCCTATCTCAGTCTCTTTCTTCTACTTCTTTGAAAGCGTTCAAAAAGGCATGCTGTAATATTATTAAAATCATGTTTGACATTGTTATTTTTAGTTCATCTCCTTCTTTCCCTTATGAAGAAAAAATAATAGATCAAAAAATAAGAGGAAAATATTTCTCTAACGCGTTGCAATTTTTTAGGTGGCTTCACCTGTTGTTTAATCTGGGAGTGCAAGTAGTCGTGGGACTTCCACTCGAGATGGTTCACGGAAGTTTGAGGATCGCCGCAGTTTATATGGCTGGAGTCCTGGCTGGTAAGTTAATAATTATGATTATATATCGCGACAATAATTATATTCCCTATTAACTTAATATGATACCTCTCTCTCTCTCTCTCTCTCTCTCTCTCTCTCTCTCTCTCTCTCTCTCTCTCTCTCTCTCTTTCTCTCTCTGTCCAATTTTTTATCAACTTTTTTCTCTCACCTTCTCTCTCTATTTATCTACATATCTATATATCTATCTCTCTCTTTATTCCGATAACGAAAGAACGCGTATTCATGCCGCGGCATATTAATTTCAAAATAACACAGCGTTAATTAGAAGGCCTTGTAATTGGAGAATAACATTTGTTTCAAGCGTGAGTATAGTGTGTTGATTTAAGTTTGCATTATTTGTAATTATATTAATTATGGAATAGCATCGCGTGCGTTTCCCGAAAGAACAGCTCTCTCTCTCTCTCTCTCTCTCTCTCCCTCTCTTTTTCTTTTACATACATATAGATGTACATTTAGGTAAACGCACTATTGTGTTCTCTGCGACACGACCGTTTCATACTCTCTATTTTGTGCCCGAACCTGTTTCGGGATTTTCAGCAGAGGTGGTACACACCTCTTTCTCCTCTTCTTCCCTTCATCACTACTTCTTCCTTCTCCTATCCTATCTCTCTTTCTCTCTCTCTCTCTCTCTCTCTCTCTCTCCCTCTCTGTCTCTCTCACTACAGGAAGAGACAGTAACGTGGTCCTGCTCTCTCGTCGTCTATATGTATATTCGTGTACACCTAATTGCCATTTGCATAAATTCGATTAGACGCAGATCCCTGGTTATTAGCAGTCATGAAAGTAAAACGTTGCAAAATAGGGCACATGAATAATAAACCGGACCGGGAGATTCGAGAGTAGACATTGGACGTCCCTGGGAAAAGGGAGGAATTTTCAGGGGTGGAACGAAAGGTAAAACTTTAAGGAACGATATGAACGGCTTATCGCCTTGTCGTTTTAGATAATGCCGTGTCTGTTATTAGAGAAATCGTGAACCGATTTACTCTATACGCGTTTCTACATTTACCACCTTTTCTACTTGTCGACGATCGCATATTAAAAATGATATTTCCCTTGCTCGCGCTTTTCAAATTTGCTTCCATTATCGAGAATAAATTTAATCCGACGAAAAAATCCATTAAACGAATAGATATTTCAGCAACTTAGAACGAATGTAGAAATCTAATAAAAACGGTAAATGGACATTTCGTCAGATGGATCATTTAATGCAATATCTTAGTCTAAGCATTTTCAAAATGGATCTCTGTCGCTAGAATATTATAATCTTGCTAATATTAACGAGTCTATATTTTTTTCTTCCCTCATTTCGTTCTATCCTATTATCTTCGTTAATATCCTTTATGGCCATTATATAACGCGATCTTTCTTTTTTTCCATTCGTACATTTATTTTATTTAATCAATTTTCCTTTATTAATTATAATTAATTCATAAAATCGATATTTGCAATATGAAACGCTAGTTTCATAAACATGGTAAATATTGTCTTTGGTCTCTCCTCTCTCTCTCTCTCTCTCTCTCTCTTTCTCTCTTCAGAAAGGGGCGACAGCTTGTCTGGGGCCACCGCGACAAGATTACTTCGTATGCATCGCGGTCGCGACGATGTAATGCGATTGCTGTGACGCAAGTGCAACGACATCTACCCTCCACAAGCCTTCTCTATATCTTCCACGCTGTTTCCCTCATCGTCGCTACATTCCCCCTATCCTTGCTACGCATTTCAACCCTTCCATCACTTTAAAATTCTTCTACTTTCTATACTTTCCCGTATCTTTTTCTTTTGTTTCTTTTTTATCGTTTCCTTTTTCTTCGTGTCTTTACTTTTCCCTCTTTTTTCCCCTAAATATCTCGCATTTTCTATTTATCGTCGGGAGAGGAAGCACCGAGTCTAGTCGAAGTGTGACGGTTTCGAAGACAATACCAGGACGTTTGATTAATCGACATTTATCGACGGATTTAACTTCCCTATAATAGTTTTGTTGCCGGAACGTTCGTCGTTTATTAACGAACGTTATTTACCTATCTCCCTTACGTTACGTTCTTTACGATCCTCTTTCATTATCCTCTAGCTTTTCTGCCGAACGTTAAGCAAAACGAGAGCTCATAAAGGATATACTCTTCTCTCTTCTTACGCAGTAGTAATTCACGATTAGAGAGATGCGACACATATTCACATAAATTTACTCGTGTCGAAGTAAACGTATCGATCGGCGTATATACGTGTCCTACGTGCATTACGTGTATTTATGTGTATTCCGTAATAGAGCGCTTTCCGTTCCACCCGTGACCATTTATAATAATATAATCCGTGAAATAACGCTTATTTCATAATAACATGATTTTGTAAATTCAGCAAAGTGGTCACTCGATTCACGTTCGACGCACGCCGACGACGACGGAACATCGAGAGAGGTATTACGAAAATGGCTGGGAAAGGATGGGACGGTAAGGGAGGGATAGGGAGAGAAAGAGGCAATTCGCGTTCGATCGAAGTAGCGTGTTCGTCGGAGATATTCGCCCGTGGACCACTGCCGTCGCGCTCGTTATCGCTTCTACTACTCGACCGTGCATAGGCCGACCATTTCTACTTGATAATTTGGTACGTCAGAGCTCTATTGTGAAACGTTTACGTACAACGCGGAGGTAGCTGCTATTCGGTACGAAATGAATAACTGAAATATAAATGGACATTGCTCGAAAGTATTAATTGCGTTCCGATACCGACATGAATACCGTGTTCCTACAACTTTCATGTAATTATCTTCGATCTGCCCTTTGAGAACAATAGATGATACAGTGGAAATTTGTCAAAAATGTATATCCTTGCAAGTGTCTCTTTGCTTTCGACTCCATTTAAATCAGCTTTTCATTTTCCTTTTTTCCTTTTGCGCCTCCCCTTCTTTGTATTTATTTATTTTTTCTTTTCCTCTTTGTTAATTTACATTCACAATATAATTCGTATTTTAATTGATCCCAACTGACTAACGTTTTAATTGACTACGTCGTAAAGTACTTTTGGAAATTTATGACGGTCGAGAAATGATGTTGTTTTTCGTTTTCGGAACAGAAAAAAAAAAAAAGAAAGAAAGAAATGCAACGGCAAAAGTAGAGATAGTAGAATAAAATCGAAGGATAGAGAAGAGGACGCAACAATTTCAATCCGCATGCTTCGGGATTCAAACTCGCTTTTGTATTCCATCGATGTCCCGACATTTTTCCCTTTCCTCCTGTCTGGTTTAATATTTCCATCGAAAAAATGTCGAGGGCATTTTGAGCACCAAAAGGATATTAAACTCGCGTGTTGGTGAGAAAGGAAGAGCGGGAGAGGGAGAATCATTCGAACCGTGGAAACTTTGCACGTTACACGTTTGCGCTCCCGTTTGCGCTCGCGTTTCGTGCGGGAAACCGAGAACATTGCTACGGACGATCGCGTCTACGATAGGAAAAAGGTTCAATGCAAAAAGGAGAGAGGGAAAGAGAGCGCGAAAAGATAAAAGAGCCGGATGGAGGCCGATGTCTCTCTCTCTCTCTCTCTCTCTCTCTCTCGCTCTCTCTCGTTATATCGACAAGTGAGATAGCGAGATCCGCCAACTGATAAACCAAGAATTGTAAAGAATGTGAAGCAACGACGCGTAAATGTGGCTCGTACGCGCGGCATTCTGGTTTAAAAATAAAAGCAAAAAGAAAGAAAGAACGCAGGAAAAACAAACAAGAAAAAGGTAAAAGAAAAAACAACAGAGCTGCGAGAGTTCTCCTTTGCCGTCGCGATAATGGTAGAAAAGGTCTCGTAATGAAGAACGGCGGAAGGAAAAGAAGGGCGAGGAGAAAAGTCAAACGAAAAAGGAGAGGAAATGATTCATCGATGATAATGTTAAAATAATTCCATAACAAGCACGATAAAAGAGATAGGGTGTAATGTAATAACGACGGCAGGGATCGAATTCGATCGGGGTTCGATTCGAGAGCGAATATTTTTTCGGCAATACCCCGCGACAAATCCACTCACTTTTCCCACACTTTTGGGGCCTCGAACTGTATTTTTTTGTGCGTTCGTATCTCGATTTCGATCCGTCTATGTAGTTTTCAAGGTATACCCAGAATCGAACTGTCGTTACAAAGAGACAAAAAGGGAAAAGCGTTTTATCCTATGCGTACTGCGCGTAGCATATTTTAAACCGACTGCAAACGTTTGCTTGATAAGGGACGCTGGATTCCCATCGTGGATTACATACATTTATCGAGCGGGAATTAAGGGAGCTTCGTGTCACGAATGAAAGCAAGAGATAGCATCGCAATCCCATAACCCTACATTTTCCAATATTTTTCTCTTTTTTTTTTTTTTTTCCATTTTTTTCTTAAAAGTCCATCGATCTATCCTCGTCGATTGGTATTCTCACCAGCGTACATATGTGTACGCAATTTATAACAGGTACAAATCAAATTTATAAAAAGTATATACGATTCTATCAACGGTTTTATTAATCGATACATATTGCTCGTTACAATCCAATAAGTATCTACTCCATTTGCCTGTTTCATTGGAGAAAAAAAAGAAAAAAAATTACAAAGAAATAGGATAATGTTGACTCGCAGCGAACGTATTGTGTAAAGCGAAAATAGCGTCTGCTGTAACACGTTGGTACTGTTTCTTTCGCGATGGTGACACGCAGGCGATTCGCAGAGACACGAAGGGTCCCCGGAGAGAAGCGTGGAGAAAATACAGGAATAGTAAGCAACTATGGCTAGCAGTGGACAGTATTCACGGTGCATCGTGCCGTAGCCTCGATCCGCCGGTAACGACGTAACGACGTCGAGACGCGTCCTTCCCTTTCGCTTCCATCCCCCCCCTCTCTCTCTCTCTCGTGCACATTCGTCTATCTATCCAACTACATTTCTCCCTCGCTCACCCGGGCACATCGTACACCGTTTGCACGAGAACGATGCAGCTTAGAATTTCGCCTCGCGTCGCGGCAGGACGAACACGTAATGGCGGTCGATGTACGGAAATAGGAAAGAGAGGCCCTACCCTCTTTCTCTTTCCCTTCTCCTCTCCATGATACACGAGCTACACGCCATACTCCTCTTTACAGATGCATCGTTGTACTTGCACTCACCGACTTCTAACTATACGCTCAATTTTCTCGATGGTACATAGTCTAGGGACCTGAGATACATCGTACCACCTCGTTTCGCATTTCTTTAGAATTTTTCTTTCCTCGTGATATCTCCTTCGATGATCGTCTAAGTTCTCTCCCTCTCTCTCTTCATCTTTCGCGAATACACCCTCACGCATACTTTCTTCACTGCGCTCGCTATTTTCTTTTTACCTCGACATTATTCGAGAAACGAATTTCCGCGTTTTCTCCTCGAAAATCGAATGTAATTCATGTAAAAATATTTCGTGAAATATTCAACTGGAGAGAGAGAGAGAGAGAGAGAGAGAGAGAGAGAGAGAGAGAGAGAGAAGTTTCTCTCGATCATGGTTCGCTTAGAAGTCCGCCTTCCGATCACCCCCCTTCCTTCTTTATGTCGAATAATATCCTGTAAGGATACACGTATATGTATGTATGATACATATATTTATATACACACATGTATACTAATATATATATATATAGATGGATAGATAGATGGATAGATGGATAGATATTTTTCTTTCGTTCGTTCCTTCGACTGCGCCAACGTTCCTCTTACTTGACTTCGTTTTCTCATCGTACCTTTTCCTCGCGTGCCTCTGCTTTCTTTTTCCCTTTTCATTTCCCCTCGTACACCGCAGCTCGAGCCTTTGCACCGAGATAAGCTATGCGCGTTCAATTTTCTCATCATATATACCTCAGATCGCAATCTTCATCCCTTTTCCTTATTATTCGTTTTTTCTCTTTCTATTTCTCTTTTCTTTCAAAAGAAGAGCGAAAAGAGAGCAGCTAGTATAAATTTTTACGATCGTTAACGCGTATTCTCTTCTAAAGAACTTCTCCCCATGGCTATATCAAAGAGAAAAAAAATCAACAAGATAGTTCAATTTAGTTTGAAATTTCGAAAAAATCAAAGAAGTTCTTCAACGCTTATGTTTACGAACCCCCTTTAGGGGAGAGATCATCGGAATACATACATTTGACTGCTTTCGTATTTCCTTCTTTTTTCACCCACCTTTTCTTTTTTCTTTCTTTTGTTCTTTCTTCCTTTTTTTGTCCTTTTTTCTTTCCCTTTTTCTTGTTTTTTTTTTCTTTTTTATACAATCGATTCCTACAGTGGCACCATACGATCCGCTGCACCTGTTGCTCGCATCGTCGTAGCCCGGATACGTTGTATCCGGAACTACTACCGCGGAAGTCGCTACCTCGTTAAACTTCATTTCGTTTCAAGAACGCGAATGTGTCCACCGTTTATAATAGTATATTGTTATTTTTAATCGAGTCCAGTTCGGTCGAATGTTTTCAACCATTAAAATCGAATCAATGAGGGACCATAGCATTGTCCTCGTTCCATCGATCTTAATAATTCCTTGACAATTTGTCTTTATTTTAAAATCGTCGACAAATCTCTCTCTCGTTGGATTTTCTAAAGGAACATTACTAGATCTATATATTCGTAGTTGTTCATAAAGAACATTGCCGTAAGAAGTAAGCAAGGACTACGGGGAAATGTGTATGTAAAAGTCGTACAAGTCGGGAGTAGGTCGTTGAAATATTAGTTCGCGTCGTCGCACCAGGCCGGTACTTTGCACCGACCCACTTCCCTTTTCTTCTTTTCATCCTTTCTTTCTTTCTTGGCGCTAAAGGCAAAGGCATCCCTAACGAGGATTCAAATGAATTTCATAATCCCAGAGAAAGAGGAAAAGCGAGAAAGGGTGAGAGAGAGAGAGAGAGAGAGAAAGAAAGAAAGGAGGATTGACGAGACGGAGCTGGGCAACGTCGTAGTTACTTGAGTTTATTAGAGGATTTTTACTTCTGTCATCATCGCGAATGCTACTTCTTTTCCTTATCTAATAAATATCGTCCCGTCGACTTTATTCGATTTCATTTTATTACTTAATTAAATGATAAAAGTACCTACATCGAATTATAAAGAACATTTGAGTGAAAATCAATTGGTCAATTTATATGTACCTACATTTAGTCACTTGATTTAATCGAATCGTGAGTATGGATGGACGCTCGTGTAATTTAATTTATTTGCCTTCTCGAAACTTGGTCGTCTTAAACTAACATCTCGAAAACCAAGTCGATCCTAGTTAGGCAGCTCTTGGATCGACAAGCTCGAGAAGTAATGTTGATGGGAATAGAGAGGGAGAGAAAACGCGATTGAAAGGAAGAGGATGAGAGAGATTCGATGGATCTACATTTTGAAACTACATAAGAATTTACGTAAGAAACTATTGGTAAAAGAGAAATAAATTATCTCTCTTTCTTTCCCAAAGCAAAAAAGAAAGAAAAAGTAAAGAAAAATATCATAGAAATCATTTTTATTATTTTTCTTTGATATGCGCCGCAACCTCTCTCTCTCTCTCTCTATATATATATATATATATATATATATATATATAAATATATATAGAAGAAGGATCGATTCGCAAGTTGTTCGACAAGTTCGTAGAACTACGTAAAACTATAATATCTAATTTAAAGTCTTAAAAGGAAATAGTTATGTCAGGTGTCGGGTTGCGAAAGAAGAGAGCCAAGTAAATTCCCTTTACAATTTTCTGTCTCTCGAAAGTACCAGCGGGTTAAGGAAGTTCGACTGGGGGCGAAGCGACCGCGTCGACTCGCAAAACAGCGTGCTTAAACTAAAGGTACTTTCAACTAAGTTATACCTTGCTCGACTGTCTGCAGGTTCCTTGGGTACCTCGGTGTTCGACACCGACGTCTATCTGGTCGGAGCGAGCGGCGGCGTTTATGCTCTTCTAGCGGCCCACCTCGCCAACGTTCTTCTAAACTACAACAATATGGAGTTTGGCATAGTTCGACTTATCGGCATCTTCGTCATCGGTAAGTGAAGTAGTATCACGGGATCGGCCGAGAGCCAGCCAGTGAACCACGATCTTTCCTTTCTCCTTCTCTCTTTTATTTCCGTCCGACATTCCCGACGATTCTCCCTACCTCCCTCCTATCCTCCCTTTTCTTCTCCAACGAGAAAACGTTTGCTTTTACGCCTATGGAAACTTTTGACAACCGTCAAGAAGATTCACCGACGAAACTTCTTCGAGCGCGAAACGATTTAGACCACGTTAAAATTTAATTTCGACGATGTATTTGTCTCTCGAAGAGAGGACGCCTGAAAGAAATCGTCCGTTATTTTCGGGAAACCACGTTTTATTCTCGTTATAATTTTATTCATTGTCGTGCACGTTTTCAATTAAAATTTATATTAAAAAGCTTGTTAAGTATATTATCAATGAGCGATCGGCCAAAGGTCGTGCAAACGATATGCGTAGCGTTAATTGAAATATTTTCATTGTGCGTGCTCGTTTTTCTTTATTTTATTTTCTGTTTTTTTATTTTTTTTTTTTATTTTTTTCTTTTTATTTTTTTGTTCATTTGTATTTTTATCGTTTATCGCGCAGGATGCAAAATCCTTGCTGTCATCACGGCAGTACGAGGTACTCTGGTTCGTTGCAAAATATACGCTTGATTTATTTCTAGGACAAATTTAATCCGTCGGATTAATCGACTTGGGAAATGATATCGATTCTTTGCAGAATATTTTTTTTTTCTCACTCCGCGCTCTATAAAAATTCTACTAAATCATAGGAAATATTTCTCGTTAATCAAGCTTTCTTTAGTTCTTTTTACTTGTTTACTGTCAACGATTCTTCCCCGAGTGATGGATACTACGGTTGAAAGTCTAAAACAACAATGTCGATTGTCCTGGTACGCAGCGAGTTCACGAGCAGAACGTGCTGCACGTGATGAAAACGAAAAAGTAGAGCAGGAAATTAGTGGCGAGTCCGCGGAAGTTTTAATTAAAAGATAGCTGGCTCGGATTTTCTCCTACCGTTGCTAAAATCATCGTTTTGGTCGCGATTGGTTCTGACATTTATGATATTAGTTCGGTAATACCTTATATATAAAATCTTTTAACGTTGACAGTATTTCCTGACGTGAAATAAAAATAATTATTGGAAACGTTGGGTTGTAAATGTAAATGGATATATGTAATGGATATCGCGAGAAATTACAAACAATTTCGTTTATTTATAGTATCCTATTAAAATATACATTTATAACGAAGTACCTAGAGCATAATAATATGTTTACGTTTAATTCATTTAATCCGTCGTTTCCAAACATTTCGTAAACGCGCGCGTTCTCTTTCTCCCGCCCCCCCCCTCCCACCTTCCTACTCCCGTCCGGCAATGCTTATCGCCTCGTGTCGTTAATCCAGAGTCCAGTTAGAATGAGATATAAATAAAGGAAAGAAGAAAAGGAGGAAAGCGGCTTGTGAGGCATACTGATCGTGATTGGAAAGTTTTAATTAAAAGATAGATACCGAGCGTAAGAGTAGCGCGTTTCCACCGACATTGCGATCAACGTAAATTCGCAAACCTTTGTTCGTTCATCTTTTTATCAAGAAAACTTCAAATTGGATTTAGCCTGTCGTCCGATAACGAAATCGGCTTGTCCTTTCGAGGATGGTACGCAAGTTGTACGATGCTTAATCGACGTAATCTCCTTACGATGTACTTGATCGATAACGATATCGATTATCCAATTAATCCTACTTTTAGATATTTGGATCGAATATAACTTTAATTTAAAATCGCTTCAACGGATTAAGTTATAAAAGTTTTGAAATCTTTCAAGTGCCTTGTATTAAAGGAAAATTATAAACGTATATCGATGGGATGAGAGATCGTTTATTTTTATATATCGAAAATATATAACTGATCGTTAGAAGTTGAAAAATACATTCGTTCGCAAGAGTTTCGCATTCACCATCGGTATCCTTTATTGGGCCGATTTCAATGAAAGGGACGAGAGAAAGGGGGTCTCAAATGGGTGGAAACAAAAGAGGAAAGCGCGATGCTCGGCACTATTCGGAAGTTTTAATTAAAAGATAGACGATGACCGTCGCGATCGGTGGTACCGTAGGCGGTATGCCGCGCCAGTTCTCTCGGTTGATGAAAAGCACCGACAATGAGAATATCCGAGGGAGTGATAGAGAGAGAGAGAGAGAGAGAGAGAGAGAGAGAGAGAGAGAGAACGAAAACGAGAGTGTGTATAGTCAAACAGAGCGAAAAGCTTTTTTGGCCTCTCGATTACGAGGCAACGACGCGTGAACCACCCGCATGCACACGGTCAAAGTTAAGACAACATCGGTGTCTTTTCTCTTCTTCGGAAGCGACCTGGCCTTTTCAAATTGGCCAGGCGCGCGCGCGCTATTACGGCTCGAGTACTTATCTTGAAAGCGCCTAAAAATGGCGGAACGTGTCACAACGCGGTGCCACGCTAATAAGAAAAGATAGGATCTGCGACTTGATTTTATGGATTCAAAAGGGAGAGATAAAGAGAGAATGCGTATGTGTGTTTTCGAAAGAGAAAGAAAGACATATGTGCTACGTGAACAGAGTGTGCGAGAGGGAAAAGAAAAGATACGAGACATCTCGGAGTCTGAACGGTCTCCTCGTGCGGTGGGACTTTTTCTGTGTTGGTACGCGTGTGTGTCGTGACGATGACGACTACTATGGACGATGGCAGCACGAAGGAGCAAGCTGTTTGCTATTTACACCCCTGAGACCACGACCATCCGGCACCTGTAAAAAAGAAAGATGCTGAAAAGCTCTTCCCTCGACTACGCTTTGAGAGCTTTCCATGAAATAGCCACCGGCTGTGATACCTTCCTCCTCCACCTCCATCTTTTTACTTGGAATCCCAGCACCGTCCTCCTTTGCGTCTTTCTTTATTTCTTATTCGTAGCTTTTTCAAACCACGACGTTGTCCGCGTTCTTCATTCGCATCTTCATTATTTCCTACACCTTCACGACGTTTAATAATTCCTCTTTTATCTATACTCGACAGTCTTTTTATAAAAATCAAATTTACTCCGCAAATCGTTGAGTACGTTCGATCGTACGGTAAACGGCTCAATAATTTCGCTCGTGGAGAATTTGAAAAGGAATGATTTAGATTATAAGGAAAAAGAAAAACAAAAAAAAAGAAAAACAACGATCGATCGATTCGCATTTATTATCTGACTAATCTTGAAACGATTGTTTTTCAGCGAGCGCCGACGTGGGCTTTGCCATATACGACAGGTACGCGGCAGAACAAATCTACGCGGGTCTACCGGTCTCTTACGTTGCCCATCTGACGGGTGCCTTGGCCGGCCTGACGATCGGCCTTTTGGTCCTGAAGAATTTCGAGCAGCGATTGCACGAGCAATTGCTCTGGTGGGTGGCCCTTGGCGTTTACGCAGCCTGCACGATCTTCGCGGTCATGTACAATCTAATGCATCCGAATTATCCATGACGCGAGGTCAGCTTCGCGTACGGTCAACCGAGAAACACGTAACGCGAAGCTGATGGCCCTTGGAAGAGAAAACGAAAAAAGAGAAAGAAGGGAAGGAGAATTATAAGAAATAATTGCGTCGGACGAAGAAAACGTCGAAATATTTTAATGGAACAAGTTTCCTCTTTGTCGGGATTATCTCGATACGAACACGCTGCGAATCATCGAAGGACGAAAAGAAGGAGGAAGTGGAGAAGGAGGAGAAGAAGGAGGAGGAGGAGGAGGAGGAGGAGGAGGAGAAGGAGGAATTGCGGCCGGTCACACGTCTCGATCTCTTCGTAGTTTTCCTGCGTTAAACCAAAGAATAGAGTATATACACAGGGAGATATATTTTTGCAGAACGACAAGGAAGATGATGCGCGCAAGGGGTTTATATCATTTTGCGCACTTCGACTATAAGCGGAAAACGCGAAAGCCAAAGAACCATAGTCCGTACGCAGGAAAATATTCGAAAAGTTTAACGTCGACCACGATCTCCGGCTTTTTACTCGTTAACGCGATCCCTTCGAACTTAAACAAAGGAACGAGAAAAAAGAAGAACGAAACGAAACGAGGGACGCGTAGCGACATTTTTTCTTACGGCTCTTGTATATTATTAAGTATCGACATCGATCTCGATGACGTGTTGCCCGTGCAGTCGTTCATTGTATACCAATGTAAATAGTCTTGTAAATAATAACGAAAGAAAAATGAAAGAGAACGTTACGCGTACATGGGGCGAGCGAGCGAGAGAGCAAGGAGAATCGGAGTGAGTGAGCGAATGAAAGATAGATATAAAATAGTGCGTAGAGCGTGGGCGAAACAAACAAACAAATAGAAAAAGAGCGAAAATTTGGAGAACGAGAGAATGCCGAAAAAAGATTCGTCGACGAGTAACGAAATATTTTCCTTCGCTCGATAGTTTTTCAACAATCTCGTCCTTTTTCCCTCTTTGACACACTTTTTAAGAACGGCGTTGGAAAGAAACAGGAAAATGGCGATTACGTTACCAAATTTCTTTCCTCTCCATATACTGCCAGAGCTTTTCTTACTTTTTCCTTTCTTTCGTTCGTTCGTTCGTTCGTTCGTTCGTTCGTTCGTTCGTTCGTTCGTTCGTTCGTTCGTTCGTTCGTTTGTCCGTTCGTTCAATGAAAATTCCTCACGTATTTAACTTTTCTTTTTCGTTTGTCGTATTTGTCCATTTTTGTATAGAGCAATAACAACATATATTTATATATGAGAAAATGAATCGTTAGATAATTTTCAAACGCATCGATACGCCGCTTATTCGCTCGATCCTCTTACTCCCTTCCTCCCTCTCTCTCTCTCTCTCTCTCTCTCTCTCTCTCTCTCTCTCTTTTACACAGTCACTCTTCGATATTCTCGAAAGAACGATTCTCTTCTTTGGTGATTTCAAAGTCACGACTCTTACGTATTATTTAATAAATAAGTATACATATGTGTATATATATATATATATATATATATTATATGTGTATATTGTCTGTATAGTTTCTAAGTACGTTGATCAGGGTACAACTAGATTCTTCTTTTATTTGCTATTTATACATGCGACAAATTTCTTTTTTTTTTTCTTCTTTTTTTTTACACAAGGCAAGTGGCCACGGTAAAAAATTTAATTGTCGATTATAATCATATATATGTATATATGTATATATATATATATATATATATATATATATATATATATACATCTAAGTTCACACGTTTATGCGATGCGCTCATCTCATTGTTACAGACTTTTTTGTCTCACCGAACGAAGCAGTTTTCTCTCTCTCTCTCTCTCTCTCTCTCTCTCTCTCTCTGTGTTATCTCTTTCTCTTCTTAATTTCGTTCTTAATTTCATACACGAAAACTTGTCTTATTTATTTTTACCAAGTGGTAATTTCTTATTAGAAATTAATATGTCTCGGAATAGCGGAAGAAAAGTAGATACAAAAGGGAAGGAAGGAAAGAAGGAAAAAAGAAAAAAGCGAGATCAAAAACGAGAGTGATGAACGATGCTAGTCAATTAGTACCCACGAGAAAGCTACGTCGGGTTGTAGCTTAAGGTACTGCTATGTTGTAACTCGCAGAAACGTCGAGAAAAACGGTGGGAGAAATAGAGTGAAAAGCGACTCGACTGTGAAAGGGTTGTGTAAGAACAGAAGGAAAGAAAGAGAAAGAGAGAGAGAGAAAAAAAGAAATGGTCGGTGACGAAGGTATCCACTTTAAATAGCTACAATGTTCTATGTTACAATGCAAAGAGAAAAAGTGTGCGTGAGAGAGAGAGAGAGAGAGAGAGAGAGAGAGAGAAAGAAAGGGAGAAAAACAGTACTACAACGAGATGCTGAAAATTGCAGAGACGATGACACGATTGTCTTGTTCTACGTTGCTGCTGAGATAGTACCGATACTCGAATAATTAAATTCGTATGAGTCCCGGGAAGAGACGAGAAAAAGAGCTATATCGAACCACCGTTTGAGGTCATGGTAACATTCTTTTACTCTCTTTTTCTCTCTCTCTCTTTCTCTCTCTCTCTCTCTCTCTCTCTCTCTGTCTCTTTTTTCTCTCATCATCTACAAAATTCGATTCCCAATGCGGCTTTATTTAACAGAGAGACACTGTAAATGATTACCAATGTCGTTTTCGACGTACTTGTGAGTTTCTCCGTTATCTCATTAATAAATGGTAGTTCCGTTACAGAACTCCTTTTCTCGAATATATTTTGTAGTGATATCGAATGTAAAGATACCTCGATACGGAATGTTTTTTATTTATTTATTTTTTTTTTCTATTTTGTTTCTTTTTTTTGTGACGAATGTATTACAGAAATGATTAATATCGTAATGGTTCAGGTTAATCAATTCGTATCGTACAAAAAATGGAATATATGACTGGTGCTCTTCAATATTCTATGCAAATGAGCTTAGGAAGATAATGATTGGAAAACCGTACGATCCTTTTTCGATGTCATTTGCATGTTATTGAAAAACGGCGCGGCCCCTTTGGTATTACATTTCGCCCGATTTATATCATCGCTAAGCTCATTGATATGTACTTTTTACGAGCGATATCACTTGTATAAATGAATGAGAAAAAAAAAGCGAGGGAAAAACAATGAATGAGAACGTGGCTTGTCGTATTGGTTCTATATTTCTACGGTCGTTGGTAAAGAGCATTTAAAGAGTTTCGTTCTCGAGCACACAACACTGCCCTTCAAAAGGAAAAAGAAAAAAAAAGAAAAAAAAGAAAAAAAAAAGAAAAGAAGGAAAAAAAAGAAAAATCAGGAAGGAAGGGAGAATTTCGCCTAAGAATAATCGAGCGATTATTCTCTTCCCTTTGTTTCATCTTGTCTGTTTTTTTTCTTCTTGCTATCCTTTTATATCGTCTACTCATCATCACCGTCATTAAATTAATATTATTATTTATTTTCGCGCAAAATCAATTGAGAGATTTTCCTCCTTTCGACCTCGATACACCACCTATTCATCGCTTTATGTTCGTTGGTTTTTAATTATCGCGTTCCATTAACCGATATCCGTAGGACGACAGTATTGCTCGCGGAACCACTTTTCATTTAATTATCGCGATCATCGGGAAAGTTTCTTCGGAAAAAGTAATCGAGAGTACTTTCCTTCGGATATACTTGTTCTTTTTTCTTTTTCTTATCTCGTTTTAAACATTTTTTTTCTCTTTTTTTTCCTTTTTTTATCATCATCATCATCATCATCGTCGTCGTCGTCGTCGTCGTCGTCGTCGTCGTCGTCGTCGTCGTCGTCGTCGTCCGTCGAAGCCGATAGGAAAACAAAATTCGATCGATCGCCTTCTCCGCCGTTTATTTCGACGATGCATCGGGAATCTCGATTTTCCGCAAAGTTAAAAAAAGTTTTTAATTAGTTTAATTAGTTCCCGTTGCGTCGCGTACCTCCTGCGTGTTTATTTTAAATGTCAGAAAATATGGTTTATAACACTGCCACAACACACAATTTTCAGTTAAAATCCACGGAAAACGAATTTTCCCTTTTCCCCGCCATCGCCATCATCCCTATCGCACGATCATCGACTTTACAAAGCTAATTAACGGGACACGATCATTGCATTCACGTTGAAAGTCTAAACTGATAGCGAGAATATGTGTGTATGCCGTGCCTGTACGTGAGTTACGCCTGATGCGCATTAAAATACGATAGCGATATATGAATATACATATGTATACATATATATATATATATATATATATATATATATATATATATATATATATATATATATATATATATATATATATATATATCAAAATAGGTACGCGCTGCGATATCAGCGTACGAGAAGAGTTGCGACTAATGTTAATAATAATTTATACTGCTTACGGTTAGTCACGAGTATCCACAAGCCAAAGAGGTGGAGCTAGTAACAAAATTTCAAGCGATTACTAATTATTATTATTATTATTATTATTATTATTATTATTATTATTATTATTATTATTATTATTATTATTATTATTATTATTAATATTAATATTATATAATTATTTTTATTATTATTATTATTATTATTATATTATTGTCCTCACCATCGTCATAGAAAATCGTTTTTATTATCGTCGAAAGAATCGACGTTGCTCAGCCGACGCCGAGCCGTTTATATTCGTTCATCTCCTGTTATTGAGCGTTCGAGACAATTAATCATTCTGCTCCGTACAAAACGTGATAACGTCAAGTCCTCGCCTAGAATATTTCGCATAGTATTTCTGTACGCGTTCGCCGCCAAAAGAGGTGCGTTTTAAAGATAAAAGAAAGTCTGAAGAAGAAGAGAAGGCGGAAGGAAAGGGAAGCAATGGTATTTAATCGATAGATCGAAATATCTTGTACGTGCATATAGTATATATATACGCGTATTAAAATATACAAGGAGTCTCCTGACAAACGTTTTAATCGACTCGATTAATCTAAAATTACTATCTATATATATATATATATATACATATAAGAAGATAATTATACTATACATCGCCAAGCGCACGTAATGAAAAAGAAAAAAGATAAAAAAAAGAAATAATCTTGTTAAAAACGAGTCGATCTAAATGAGGCACCTTCTATATAGATTACGTCTTATGTAAGTACGTATGCACACGCATATATTTTTTGGAAAATTCAATGAAAAGCAATGTGTTATTTATTATGTTTTAGTAATTCCAACGTCGATACGTCGTAAGAAAGAACGATGGAAGGAACGAATGTTCGGAAGAAAAAGCGTCGCAAATTTTCGAACGTTTTAATCGTCCATATCGGACAATAGCGAATACATTGAGAAAAAAAAAATGTATTTTCGTTGTTCTTTCGAGTTGGAACGCGTTAGGATTTCCCGATCGGTGGTGATCGTAACTCGCGAGGATACTCCCTCGATGTCCTCCTCTTCGGATTTAGAAATGTCGACCAAGAAAAAAAAAAAGAAAAGAAAAAAAAAAAAAAACAGAAAAAGAAAAAAAAAATGATACTTTGCTCGGTCCTAATGCGTCGAATAAAAAATAAATTCGAGCGAGGTATCATTGTTTTCTCATTCGATAAATCGATGGAACTTAGTAAAAGGTAATCGATACAATTATTACTTATTAGATATTTAAGCGATTTATTCTGATTATTTGAAATTTCTTCTAATAATCAAGTCGCTATGTAATAAGTAGATAATTGTATTGTCGAGCCTATAATATAATTTTTCATTCCAAAGATTAATAGCAAAGCGTTATTTTAGTCGGGCCTTTTTGTATAATAACCATTTCGCGAATGAGATATTGTAGTAGCGACGATCGATATTAAAAGAGAACGTACTATTTTATCCATAGGAGGGCGAGCTTTTTTACTATAAATGAAAAATAATAATATCTACCGTGAAATATAATCGCGAGTATCGGATAATAAAAAAAATTTGTCAAAAAGAGAAACATTTTAAGCCGATTATATATCAAAGAATTACTCAAAAGCGAGAAATCGATTACCGTCGATAAAGGGGATGATTTTGATTTGAAGAGCGACCCCATTTTGGACCAGTCCTCTTTACGAAAAAAAACGTCGCGGCTAGGTAAAGGCACTTACCAAATGCGCGTATCGATAACGCGCAAGATACACGTTCCTTAGGTTTTAAACGATATTATCTGCCCGATACCGTCTCTACTATGAGAATGTTTGAAAGAGAAAGAGCGATCGATTTATTTCTAATCGTCAGGGATATGTATGACCAACATTCGATAAGTATGCGTCCGTGAGAATGAGAGAGTGAATGAGAGAGAGAGAGAGAGAGAGAATGAATAAGAGATCAAACTTAAAGAAAAATATGATAAGAAAAGCAAGAGGAAGAAAATACCGTCAAGTCGGTATCGTCGCATTTATTTCTGTCTGAAATAAATCCATTAAAATAATTATTATAATTATACCATTTGTCGTTACCACTTACTTTCCACACACACGTCACTGTCCCATTATATTTATTTCAGATTATTTCTTCGTCAATGCATCGATACAACTTTTTAGGTGTACGCAGGTAATACGTTCGTAACGGGAATAATTACTTGAGTCTTTTATTAATTTCTTTTTTTTTTTTTTTTTTTTTTTTTTACAATACGCATGAATACACGAGACACTTTTTAATACGTTTCAATTATGTATTTCATGTAAATACACTTCTCTTCTTATAATCGAATAAACGCATCTCTACGATCTCGAAAATGTTAATCGTCTACGAAAGGACTTTGTGTAAATCTACGAAAGCCCCTTTTGCGAAAATAACGGCACAAGAAATACATAATCGATTAAACGGTAATCACATTACGACACGACAAGAAAACCTCGAGTATAAATGTTTGATCGCGGATTATCGTGCTTTCCATTTTAGCATATCATTGCAATTATATGTGCACGATAAGTTCATAGGATTAAACGCAATTCCATTTGATCAAATCCTCTCTGAAAAGTATAACTCGAAAAGAGAACAAAGTTTTCCAATTAAATTCTTACGAACGAATAGTTTCGCGGATCCTCTCGAAACGAGGAAATAAGTGAATACGAGAACGCGATCGTCGTCGTTTCTCGTTTCTTCGTCGTTTGTTGTCGTCCATCGAAAGCCAAATGTTCCTTCTCGAGAAGAGAGACCAAAGAATACCGAACACCGATAAATTATAGCGTTTAGCAATGTGTACAAATATAGAGAGTCGTCGAAAGAAATATATAAACGTGCCTGATGATAAATATATATATATATTTGATATATTTGCTTCTGTGTGATCAGATATACATATATATATATATATCGTTATGAAGGAACTTCTACAACATGACTCTCTTCTACCTCTCTACCCTTCTCTCTGTCTCTCTCCCTCCTTCTCTGTCTCTCTTCGTCATCATTGCGAGTTTTTTTTAACGAGTGCATAAGGCCGCCCGTTTTTTATTTTCTTTTTTTTATGTTTTTTTTTTATTTATTTATTTTTTTTTTCTTTTTTTTTTTTAATAAAAAGTACATATCACGCGGTTGCAACGCTAATATTCCGAGCTAGTATAAATCGAAGCTTTTTCTTGATCATACCGAGCGATCCACGATTCTCTCTAACGATACAAGAGAGACGATTACAAAAATATTCATATATTGTACACGAGTATCCTAATGTTATCTTCTTCGGCCAGCAATCATACCGTTCTATCATCGAAGCTACAACGCGTTGGTTAGAATATCCAACATCGTCACGCGACACCGAAGCATTTACTATTTTCTTTTTTTTTTTTTTTTTTTTTTTCATTTTTTTCGATTTTCTTCTTTTATACTGTCGTTTAACTTTCAAAGCGATAGGTACGTTTCTGCGATACACGAATGCACAACGACGTTAATAATTATAAAATAACGCGACTCGCGCATTAGTTATTATATCAAAGTCAAGGAAAATATCAAATCTATATTCGAATGACATGACGCTTTCGTCCTACGTGATTTATGAAACACGTTCGTTAGAAAAACGGTGCCTCTTTTTCTTTTTCTCTTAGCTATATCTTTCTAAATATCCTTGAGATTATATTCATTCGATTGAACCGAAAAAAATCGATCGATAAACGTTGCTACGTGTGATTTAGTCTCGAAAAGATCGTGTAATATATAGAAATAGAAATTGAAATTCACGAATTCCTACGATTGTAACTTTCATCGTAAAGACTATTAAAAATACGAATCGCGAAAAGCGAGCTGTTTCGAAAAAGTAGAATCGTTGTAAGATCTCGCTGCTACTCGAGTAAAATTTTCACGTTAATTACGAGTTCGAGTCATATTTTGAGCTGAATAGGCAACAAGTTGAAGAAAAATCTATTGGAGAAATCATTTTCGAATCGATCGACTTATAATTTAAGTTGAAGTGATTATTAATTATTGTACGTACATCCTCGCTACTAATATCTAGACTCTCCTCTCCTAGTCCTCGATAAAAAGGTCATACATATAAGGACAACTAGTGCGACGCATAATCGTTGATAAAAAAAAACGTTTACGCGTATCGATAAAATATAAATAATACGATAATAATCGCTCGATCAGCAGATCGGTCTTTTTATCGCACTTTTACGTGTCGTACCGAACGAAAGCTAGGCTCGATCCTGGCCAAGTGTCAAAATATATAATATTTCGCGATATCGCGATGATAACTGAGCTGGCTATCATCACATAGTATATTTTCACGCGTCCGAAATAAAGTTCTATTACGCAGGATCGATGCCTTACGAAACGCTTCATGCGCGGCTCAATTAAAGCAATTATCGTAAAAATATATCCTCGTATATTTGATTAATTCGATTAAGAATGTTTATTAACGCATTGGTGTTTGTGAAATACTTAAACGCATAAAAACATTACAAAACGAGACGTAGTAGAACTTTACGAGAACTCGTGATTGGATCTAAGTTTCTACGTACGTAATTATACATATCTTCAAAATATACAATTCTCTATCTCTTGTTGGGTCAGCGATGACCATCATGGCGCAGTACAACTATATCTATTAAAAATCGAGAGATTATTTGTTAACACCAAGAGCAAGGCTCTCGTCATTTTCGACGCATTTCGGCATGCGTTGTGGAACAACGAACGCAGGACGATTAAAATATACACATACATATATATCCTTTTTCGCAAAGAATTTCGGAATAAGATTTTCAGAAGAAAACGTATCCTCCTTCTATATCGTCGGCAAATACTGTCGGGAAAAAAGAAATTCCTCTCGCGCGTGACAAAGAAAGAAAAAGGGGAAGGAAAAAAAAAACAAAAACAACTTACAAAGCTAACAATATAAACGTCTAACACCAGACGACAGTATTATGGCTTAGAATCGATTCGCTTCACGCGACCAATCGCAAACTTTATTAGGCCAACTTGATTATACCGTTTAACATCGGAGCGTCGCTATTTCTATACTTTTCTTATCGAAACGGCGTACCTTGATAGACGTAAATTAATCGAAGGTCGAGTTTTTTTTGCTTACTATATTTTCTCAACTCTAGTAAGTAAAAGCGACAAAGTATCGCGCAGATTGATAGTTAAATCTAAGTGACGAAGAATCAAAGCGACGATTGGAGAAGAAACGCTCCGACGACTAACGACGATATAATCGAAAATTCTCGCGAGCGAAGCAGGTCCTTCGATAAGATAATAGATAAGGAGTAGTAGTTCGAAGGGCTAAAGATGCGCGAGGACCTCGACCGCTGCTATCGGTGGCGTTTGATCGCCACTAAGGATCACGGGATCTGCTTCGGTTTGAACGATCCTGACGAGATTCGCGTCCTTCTTCGAGGGCACCAGATTCGCATTTGGCGTAGCGTTTGCTCGCGCGCAATAACTCGGTGGTCTACTTTCTCGAACAGTACCACCAGCAGCTGCCACGATGCTACTGGCATTCGACCTGTAGGTGGGTGGCGGAGACGAAGTTGGCTGCAGCCGGTCTAGCAACAACAGCCGTAACCTGTACTCCTGCATGCTCGCCTGAAATTAAAGAGAAAAATTTAGTATCGAACTTGGAAGAGAACTTTCTAAGCGGCGGAGCGACAGGCACCGGTGGTATACGAATTGGAATAGAGGTCTCAGCCGCGAAAGATCCGATCGCGAAACGCATCGTGTATACCAGAGCGAGTTTTGCTCTTTCACAATGCAAATCGCGATCGACCGAGAGCTACGTAACGATCAGCGAAGAGAGAAAATATAACGCGGTCGTATCAATTTCAAGTTTGAATTTACAAGAATTAAAATCGTCGATCGTCTTACCAATCGTGACGTTTCATCAATCTTCGTCGTAGAATCGAAATGACAAAGTTATACCTGGTAACTCGGTGGTGGCGTTCTAAATTGAAATTCCGGATAAATCATGGCAGCGTATGGATGTATAGGCCTTGCCGGTGGAATCCGACCGGTGATCCCCGTGAAACCGAAGAAGCTGCCGCAATTTTCTCGGCTGGTCACTCGCCACGCCACTGCGCTAACGCTCACCAGGACCACTCCTATTCCTGCAAATGTCGGACGATACTTGTATACGATGAAGAATAATGATTTGCGACGATAGCACTTTTCCATTTTCTATTCAGCCATGCCTTTATACTTTACCTACCTACGATATTTATTACGTAGCGCGCATCATCGTGCAGAATAAGAAAAACAAAAGGAAAAAATGGAAAGAAATATTAAAACGTTTTTTTCTTAATCAAATAGATAAGAGAGATTATTATTCTTCGAACGTATAACTTTTCGCTCGTTGCGTTCCGCTCATTAAAATTAAAATCGGTGAAATCTATCTCTCGCGTTTTCCGAGAGAAAATCCCATTGGCCGGCGAGCGAACGACAAGAGAACGCGAACGATGAGAAAAGACCGGAACGCGACGCTCCTCGCCGCGACCGACGACGGATTCTCTCGAGGATCGTGGCTCGCTATGAGAAAATACTTTCGACCGTCTGTCTTCTTCTTTCTACGGCTCGCTCGATAGAGAAACTCGATTGATTTTAACAGAGAGATTCCAGGGAAAATTTTAAAGCGTGCGAGCTACCCTTTCATT